TTTTTTTCCCCCTTCCCCTCCCCCATGGTCTTCCGTCAAGTTTCTCAGGATCCACATAAGAGTGAAAACATATGGTATCTGTCTTTCTCTGTATGACTTGTTTCACTTAGCATCACACTCTCCATTTCCATCCACGTTGCTACAAAAGGCCATATTTCATTCTTTCTCATTGCCACGTAGTATTCCATTGTGTATATAAACTACAGTTTCTTTATCCATTCATCAGTTGGTGGACATTCAGGCTCTTTCCATCATTTGGCTATTGTTGAAAGTGCTGCTATAAACATTGGGGTACAAGTGCCCCTATGCATCAGCACTCCTGTATCCCTTGGGTAGATTCCTAGCAGTGCTATTGCTGGGTCATAGGGTACATCTATTTTTAATTTTTGGAGGAACCTCCACACTGTTTTCCAGAGCGGCTTGTGCAGCCCATTTTAGAAGATGAGTCCAATCTGTCATTTTGTTCAGAATGATTTATTTCTCTTAGTGGAATCAAACACTGTAAATCTCCTGGATGCTCCTGTTCGCAGCTGGTGGAAAAACACGAGGGTGGAACTCTGTGTTTCCCAGAGGCGCTGGGTAGCATTTGACCAGCACCCAGGCATTGCAGCAGCTTTATGAATCTTCTTTTTGTTGTTTTCTGTTTGCAGATTTTATTCTTCACCGTACAGTATTGCAACCAACCGCATGATTCCACAGACATCTCTCACGCCATTCATTGCTGCTTCCCCTGTCTCCACATACCAGGTATGTCCGATTTACCTGCACCTGAGGGAGCGTCTCTCTTGCCAGTAGACTGTGTAAAGGCGAAAGGGACACAGCGCAAGTTTTCTTTTAATAGCCCTCAGACATTTCAGTCCGACCTTAAAGTAATAATCCTCAAGGTGTCGCCTACACTTTGAAGGGCTTGTTTGCATCTATTTCACTGAAGAATAAGGTCCACTGTGCTCTTCATTCTTCCTGCTGAGTTTTTATGATTAGGCTCCTTTCCAGCCAACACGAGTGCAGCCTTCTTGCCACTGAGAACTTACTTTGTTGGTTGTCTGCTATTTGGGTTGTCTGTTCCCTATTGTGTCTTTTCTACAAGCACACGTCTGGCATTCCCCTCCCTCACTCCAGGATATTTTACCGTTGTCATCTCATTTTGTCACAGTTGTCCTGTGCGTCCATGCAAAGCCACATGGACAGCTGTTAAATCGTTTTCCCCGAGAAAGAGGGAGGACCATCAAAGTGGTAAAAAGTTATTCCTACTTCCTGCTCTGACTTCATCCTCAGTCCCAAACAGGTCAAAAGAGACCTCACGGGTTCCACAGGTTGAAGAACAAACAAACAAACAAAAATCCAAGACTCAGTGTGTGTCCTAAAGCAGATGTTACAGCGAGTTAATTCTAAGTACACAGGTGGATCAAAAGAGTCAAACTTCTCCCTCCATAAATAACTCCTTGTCTTATTCCCTTAAGTCACGAATGTGCTATTACTCCCAGCTTCTCTTTGCCTCACATTGTTCTTCAGACAATTCTTCTAATTCTAATTAGACAGTGCCTATAGATGCCACCTGTGGGGGGTATCTGGTGTCACCTTCTCAAACTTTGGAGAGAGAGAGTGCGAGAGAGTGTATGTGCGTGCACGCGTGTGTTTGTATGTTGCAGATGGCGGGGGTGGAGGTTTCACAAAGGGTAAAACTGTCATGTTGCTGACTGCTACCAATTCAGTGAAGTTTCACCTTATTCAACCATTACATACTTCATTTCAGGGGGTCCCAGCTCTCAGAGCATCAGACTTGAGACTATATACATTTTTCCTTAACTGATTCCCCCTGAAGCAGATGATTTTCATTCTTTTCCTGCGCTTAGAATCCTGGTCCATGTCGCTGGGTGAATGGAATAGACGTGCATGTGAATTGCACTAGAGGGTCTCAGAATGGATGATTTCTTAATCGCTTTTCCTCGGGACCCATGAGGCTACGTGCAGGTGCTGTTCGGTTTTTGTTCTTCCTGCAGGGCCCGCCTGGTTGTAATGTGTGTTTTTGTGTGTTTTTTTTTTCTTTTTTTTTTTTTAACCCATTTTTTCTAATCCTGGTCTATGTTTCAGCCAAGACCACCCACTGAGCCCCAGTGTAGAGCACTTTGGTGACATGAATAAAATATCCACAGAAAAGTGATTTCACTTGGGAGGGCTCATAAGTGGAATTTAACTCTAGCTCCTTTTTTCTGAAAAAAAGGAATCAGAGCAATTTCCTATGTTGTTGATTCTCGCCTTTCACCACTTTTTTTTTTTAAACCTGAAGTGTGTTGGCGCTTTTGTTAGTGTGAGTGTATTGAAAACAAAGTCCTCCAGGGTTCTCCATGTGACCATCAGCCCGTGTAAGCTGACTTTCTCATTTGGCTGACAAGGCACATTTCAGAACAGTTGGTTGGCTCAGATTCTCATTTTTATTTGCCATACCAATTACCGTGAAAGAAAAAAAAGATCACAAACTTGCTTAACTTGGGGTTAACCCAAAGCATTCCCCCCAAATTTCTGGTTGATCTCTTCTAATTCTTACCCCAACTTTTACCACTTAGATTTATTTCCAAGATGGGATCACTTGAGAATTTGAAATTAGAATGGATGAAGAAAAAGAGGAAGTTTTAGCTGTCAACTCTTTGTTACTGGCTCCATAGCCCTGGGGGTTGACCCCTGAGTAGGAGGTCTCTGAGGCTTCCTAAGACTCTAGCCTCCACCACCAACCTCAAAATCTGCTCCAAGGCCCAGCCTGGTCCACATGGGCACCGCAGCCAGCTCCTATGAAGTAGGAGTTTGCTTTATATTTTACTATGTTTTGGTAATCAGGTCCAAGAATTTCCTTTCTCTCCTCAGTTCTGAGCACTAATTAGCTGTAAAGTCAGATGGACTCCACTTTCTTATGACCTAGTGTGACTCCACTGAACACAAGAACCAAGTTCTCTCTGTGATTGCTTTGTGCTAATAAATGCTGTTTGATGCATAGGTCCAGAGTACTTCATGGATGCCTCATCCGCCATACGTTATGCAACCAACAGTAAGTGTTCTCAGTCACCTGAGGCTAAATATTTCTATTATCCGAGTGCAAGCTTTTGTAATGCGTACAAGCTTTGGGGTAAAGCTTTTGTTAGATTTCATACCTCTTTCAGGCAGCCGTATTTTCCAGATGAAAAGCTGTTCCTGAAATTCTACAAAAGCATGTACAATAGATAGATAGTGGAGTTAGAGAGAGAGATGAGAGAAAGAAAAAGAGAGACAGAGATGACAGAGACAGAGAGAGAGAAAGACAGAGAGAGAACAAACTTTATGAGAGGAAATAGTCAACCTCCTAAGCCGATGTCTGCCATTTGTCATGAATGGGGAATTTCTACTTCACACAGGAATTCTGAACTCTGGACAATTAAATCCATTATTGGGGGAAAGCCTTTCTGTTTTCCTTCTCTTGGTATGCTTTGTTCTGTTTGGATGCTGTTTGATATGCTTTGGGGGCAATTTTTGGTATCATGGCCAAGTGTTCACTCAAAGCAATATATTTGAAATATGAAGAAAGCTGTCTACTAATAGATGGAGATATAGAGATAGAAAGCAAGGCTGCTAGATATATATTTTTAATATTAACTAACTAGAGCCATTCTCTTCTTTAGTGGAAAAATCTCTTCTAAAAATATTCAAACTCTATTTTCTACTTGCTATATTTCCCATTTTGTGGCACAATATTACATCAGTCCCATGGGAAAATATTACATATTTCATTCGAATCTAGACCGAAGGCTAATGATTCCATTTATCTTTGTCTCGGTCTTCCAGGTTTTCTAGCTCTGTCAAAGTATAATAGAGCAATTTCAGTAGCAATATATTCATGAGAATGGATAGAGCACGAGACAGGAAGTTGTGGGACAAGGTCTGTGGTGAATATCCTTTGGGGGCATGCTCACACCCGTGCCTCTGTTTCCTTTTCTGTCACTATATTCACAGGGCTGTTGGAAGGATCAAGTGAGAGCTTATGTGAAAATAGCTTTTAAAATACAATATGCTATGTATTCTTATTGCTGTTATCCTTCCTAGTACAGAATGTATTCTTGTACAGAGACAAAGCAGTGCTACATTTTAACCCATTTCAAAGCTAACTGTAAACAAAGTAGCACACGTTAAAGATCAGGGAACTAAATCCACAGGCATCCATTTCTTTGACCCAAAGGATCATAGCACCTGGTTTTCATATCTGAGCTTTGCCCATTTTTAAAAAATAAGAAACATTCCATGTTGCTCCTAATGTTTTGATAGTTTGTGTTTTATTTAAAGAATAAAATCTATATAGCTTAATACAGCAGAACTTTAGACCGTATTTTGCAAATCCCTCTATTTACTCTTATCTACACACCTTGGGGGCTTCCTGAGTTCATCTGGTCTATGTTCTATAAATCATACCGTACAATGGATCCAGGCTGCACTTTCATATCCAATTCATGCGATAAAGTTCAGTATACACTGCCAAACCAATGTATAGCATAGATTGGGCCGATACAGGAAAAGGGAAGAAGTTCTGCCAAGTTCTAAAGTGGAGACTTTCTAGAAGGAAACAACTACCTTCTAACAAGTAATATGTTCATCTAGAAGGTGCTAATGCTAGCTTAGTCCTCACACCGAGGTGAAGGATCATCTCATCGTGACCAAAAGGAATGCACATCTGGCAGAAATCTAAATATTTTTCCAGATGTCAAAATATTTAAGGTTCTACCAGAACTTCTAGAACTATAAGTAGAAGGGAAGGTGTTTGTATGTGGCTTTATTTCCACTGTCTGTCACTCAGGACCTCAGCAAAATTTTTCTTCCCCTCGCCCTCCATCCCAACATGGCTTCAGCCCCATTTTTGGAGGTATTATTTCTCATACATCTTCCTCCAGAAATAGCTCTGTGTGTGTGTGTGTGTGTGTGTGTGTGTGTGTGTGTGTGTGTGAATTTATCCCCTTAGATATTTCTCATTATGGCTACTGCTCACTGATGTCTCATCAATTCCCATAACTAGACAGTGCATCATGTTTGTGTTTAGGTCACTTGGTTTAAAATACAATGTTTGTGACCAGGGAAGATTCTTGGAAAAAGGAGTGCCTGGGCCACCCACCACTTTGTTGTCTTTAACATGGAAAAATTGGCTAAGCAGTGTCATGGAAACAGAGTTTGTGCCAGCATTCTTTTCCCAGTAACAGTCTTACCAGTTGTCTATATTGCATAAATAACCGTACCCAACTAGTCTTAGTCTCATCATCAAAATGGGGGCTAAATTAATCACTGAATGATACTTAAATACAAAAATACTGAAACAATCTAAAGCAGATAAACCAAATACCTAGATCTTGAATGAATGAATGTATGAATGAATGAATGAATGAACGAACGAACGAACGACTTGATGATTAACAGCATGAGTTCTTGGTTAGGGTCTTTGAGATAGGAAACCTTTCTCTGTTATGGAACTCTGGTCAATAAAACTTTCTTAGCCATAGTTGCCTCATCTGTAACATAGACATGCTGATGCCTAAATAATTATGTATTGTGTTCATTAAAGGAAATAATGAATTAAAGCTCCTAAATTGTGTCTAGCAAATAGCAAACTCAGCAAATTATTATTATTATTATTATTATTATTATTATTATTATTATTATTTAGTTATAGGAAGAAGAAAGGTAGAGGAAGAAAGTTGAGAATAAGCAATAATCACCTGTTTCTACTACATTTTTACTATTTATTTAACTTACTTTGCTAATGAATTTTTGGAGATAGCCTCTATGGCTACAAATAAATTGTTTGGATTGGTACTTAGTTCATTTACTTACTAAACCATTTAATACTTAATACTAAGAAAAAAAGGCCTGATAGGTACGCCCTTTATGTCAGTAACTAGAACCTACTTTACAAATAAATTCAAGGCGTCAATATCTACATGTCTCAAATATGTTGCCCATAATTATTATTTGCTTGCAACTTTTCTCCTTACTCATGTTTTCTCTTCTGCCGTTTTGAGAAAATCTCATGTATAAGCTCAAAGTGTAAGCACGTTTCTCCTGCTCACTGTGAATGCACACGGACTCCTAAATGGAGCCTAAAGCCTGAATTGTCTTTCAGGCTTGACTCAAAGGACTCCAAAGATTTCAACCAGGCTTGTATCCAAAGAGACTTCAGGAAAGTCTTAAAAGTAGAACACCGTGCCTCTGGTCTTTATCAGGATGAATGGTTAAAATGGGAGAAGGGGGAGGAGACAGGTGATGGTTAGTAAGAGAGAAATAAAATGATGCAAAGGACAAAAAGGAGTAGGCAAGGGCCAAGAGAAGAACAAAAAGCATAAGCATGAAACTGAAGTGTGCCATTTTAGTTTGTTTCCTCAGAGATTTAATTTGCTAAGTTGTGTGTATTGTACTTCTTTGTAGATTCGGAAAAAGATTCTGAGAGGACTTTCCCTCTTAAGGAAAAGGGGAAAGAAGTTTCCTTGACTGTGTTATAACCATCCTTCTGGTGTTTGTGCAAGAAAGCAGTTCTCTGTCAGTGGATGCTGGGACCTTATCGGGTCCCCTGGAAAGTTGTCAAACCCCACTTAGGACAGCAAGAGCATTTCTGTTCACACTTTGTCATTGTTCCCCGGAACAGACTCGGGAGAAAGCACTGTTAGACGAGATTAGGAATTCACTTTTTGCTATAAAGAAGGAAAAATGCTGACTTTGTCAGTGCAATCACTTATTCATTGCTGCTTCTCAGTGCAGAGCTCTGTACTGTACTCTGAAACTCCCCATCTCACTGACAGAATTTTAATAGATGATGGATTGCACCAAATATCTACTCTGCATAGCGTCATGTTACATCGGAATCTTATATGAATGCACAATTGAAATTCCTGTGTTGCAACACATTGGATATTTTGTTAAATCTGTGCTGACAAGGAGAAAAGATGATAGTTCCCAAGAAGAAGCATAGTCCCGTTCCCTTAAATTGTATTTAGGCTCATTTGAATCATAAATCTTCTGTTCTTCATATAGTTAGCATTATTTTCTCTCAAGGAGAAAGGTCAGCTTTCATTTTTACTTAATTACAAATTGGTTATCTAATTACAGCATTCTTAGAAATGCAAGATGCCCTATTGAATCATTGGATGATTTGTGGCCATGCATGGCTAAATTATGACTTTTATGATTAATAAACCTAAAGTTTATAGCTGAATAGGGAATATAAACTTTCCCTCTGCAACAAGGCTGTTCAAGAAATCTCCAGAACATTTGATTTGGTCATCCCTTACCAGCAAACAGACTAGGCCTAAGACTTAATGTTAGAGGTTGTATCCTATAAATCTGTAGCTGTGTTTTCTATAAAAGCATATCACCTAATGTGGAAAGAATATCTAAATCCATTGAATTCTGTTCAGAAAGCTGAGCTGAGCAAAAATCCTAAATCTCATAGTTTCATTAGTAAAGTAACAAAGTCAAAATGCTTTTGCTGTCAAAGGAGTTAACTTGGTAAGTGCATATATACAGGCCAAATCTTTTTTTAACTACATAGCAAAATCGAAACAACAGTGACTCTAACCCATCTATACCATTTCTCCTGGAAGAGAATTCAAACTGAATGAGAGTAAGCTTAGGAGGAGTAACTTGTTTTGAGTGTCACCTCCTTTTAAATATAGTGCTGGGCTAAAGTGACTATGAATAAAACCATTTCCACAGAAAGTCTCTTAGTGTAACTACTGTTAAAAAAAAAAGTAGTGCTGGCTTTGCAATGTTAAATTTAACTTCAAAATTCTACAATAAGTTTTCAAAAATAAAGAAAAATCCATTAAACAATGAAATTCTAGGCTCATAAATTATAACTGCATAGAGCATAAAAGACGTTCCACCTAGGACCCCTTCACTCATCAGCTCTATTCTCCAGAAAGAATCCTAGGATAAACTTCCGTGTCACCATCCAGTCAATTTTTATGCATATGAAAATCTATATGTACTTGTGCATAAATGTATATGTATTGTTAACATCTATACTATATTACTCTACAA